ATGACTAAAAATGTCATGAAATAAACAGCTGGGTTCTTCAAAGACCCCAGTCGGTCACTTGAAGGTTAACTGCGTCACCTCGGCTGCTACAGCGGTGAGAAACTGAGTTGGAGCAAGCGGCGACTAAAGATCTGCAGATCCAGAGGCTCAGACAAAAGAGGCTTTGCTAAAGTTTTTCCTTTTAAAGAGGCTAGTCCTAAAGTCCGCTAGATTAGTTTAGTATCGGGTGTCGGGCTGCAGAGGCTGCAAAGGCACAGACACCTGACCTAAAACAGAGTAAGCTGCCGTCCTCACTGACAGACGCAGATGGTCGACCGAGCAGCAGAAAGCATCACTTGGGTGGCAAATCCCAAAATCCTCACAATCAACTGCCACCAAATCCTGAATCACTGAAGCTGCTTTTAGGGAAGCTAATTTATCCACAGACACATTTTATAAGTGAAAGAGAAACTGGGAACATTTTCAGCAATGATTTTTACGACCTTCACTGACCAAATGGCTGCAGAGTCACACTTTTGCACGCTAATTCAATTCTTTTATTTAAATACAAATAATCAGACAAGTGACGACACTGTAAAACAATGTGCTGGGCATCTTACCTTCATCTTTGCATTAACAGAGCAGCCGGGATGTTTTTACACCTGTTTTAGCACTGTGTCACATACATACTGGTAAGTAAAAGGGCTCAAATTCAGTGCTGCAGACTCCGTTAAAATCTAAACTTCACACACTGAGAAGATGGAAAGTATTTTAACTTTTCAACTTCACCTGCAACCACGGAAACCCACTTTTAGTTTTAGTTTCCGAGCTGAAGCTTCTGGAGGTTCAAGTACTGAACGCCTCAAGGTCCATGTGCGGGTCAAGCATGAGCCCCGAGTATTCGCACTCTTTGGTCGGGTTTAAATGTGTAACCTGTTCTTTTTGAGTTTTCCGTGTGAATCTATTTAAATGTTTCTGTAAAGCACTTTGCATCTGTTTCAAAAGTGTTCTTTTTCTATATTTATACGCTCTGTCGAGTCCTGGTTCAAAATGGGCCTACTGGAGTTGATCTTTATTACCTACTTTAACAGAAATCTCTCCGTTGTGCTATTTCTGACAATCTGATAAAGAAAAACGCTCATTTTGTTTGCATATATGAAACAGTTAAAATCATTTTGGAGAATGCCAAAAATGTTTCTACTCAGGAAAAACTCTGGCACTAGAAAATGAAATGTAGATCACGGCTCTGAAAACATGATCACTCGCACGGCCCGCTTTTCAATATCCTCCAGTATCACCAACAATGAGCACAGAGACTCAGCCGCTTATTTCAAACAGAATCGCTGCTTTTTCATTTATCTGATCACCACAGACGCCGTGCAGAAGGAAACTGTGAAACACAAAAGAACCTTTTTTAGCTCCTAATTGAATTTCAAAGTTTCTTTTACTGAATAAAAACATATAAACTAGTTAAAGATTTTAAACCACTGAGCAGTAAAACCCTGTTTTTTCTGCCCCAGCTCTCACAATACTGCTGAAAAACCTGGTTTCAAACATGATATTTCTTAAAATAATATCCATAACAGGTTTTTCCTGCTGGCATCCCTGAAGAGCCTCTAACTTTTCCTCTTAAGAAAATCACCTGGACTGGAAAAATATTCTTCACACCCTTGTTTATAAAAAAAAAAAAAAAAAAGCACATCTTTATGAGATATGCACAGACTTCAGTTAAGCCTGTGTCCTCACCACATCTGGACCAGCCACACTCGAGTGCACAGTCGGCTCTAAAGTCTCATTCTGAGACAGATAAAATATTATCAAACAGTAGAAAACATTATTACTGAAAGATGTTTTCACCTGGTCACAACCTGCATGTTTTTTTGTTGAACCCGGCACCATATGAAACTGCGGCGTAAAAACACAGCTCACCATGACCAACAAAGAAAGTAACAGGGGCCCCACATCCCCACATCTAAACTCTGACTTCTTACCAAATCAACAGTCATTCAAGTGGACCGTGGCAAGCAACCGTTCTTTGGTCTTCACCTTTAAGTGCTGGAGGCAAACTGGTGGAGCATTAAAACAAAATAAAGGAGCGCTTTATGGCTGTCTACTTCATGCACCAGTTTGCTTCGGATTAAATAAAGTGTGATGTCCTGACGAATAAAGTTTGACGCCAAGCCTCTCGCTGCTTAGAAAGAGAAAAAAAAATAACGTTGGGAGGTAAAGGCTGGAGGAAAGGGCTCAAACGCTGTGGTAACAAGCGCACCACATGTGCTAAAGTCTGCATTAAAAAGCATTAATTTCAGCTCTGTTAAATGTGGGAAACAAAAGAGAAAACCCCTCATCTGCATCTGCACAAACACTGAACACAGGGGCACTCACGCCGAGACACACAGTAGGTGAGGGGAAAAAATCCAAACACAAACATGTAATTAGATCTCGAAGGAGCCTCGTGTTGATTGAGCTACTCCTCTGTAAAGTTGTTTAAACTCTAACCTGCGACTGAAAAGCACCTCGGTGCCTCTGCTCGACAACTGCATCTTCCACGCACAGCTGATCACAGCTTTATCTGGCTGTAAAATCAGCTGTTTGGGGTAGGATATAGCGTTTCTCCTGCCACGATCCCCGCTACATTCCTTCATGTTATTCTACCCTCTCCTTCCCCCTTCGTTGCCACCCCACCTCCACAACCTTTACATGGAGAAGACACGTACTGATAGATGAGACCTGGGACCTCTACAACAGAGGCAGGTGCTGCGTTAAATTGTTGCCCTGCAGCTACAGTGCAAAAAAAAAGAAAGAAAGAAAGAAAAAAAAAGTAGAATAAAAAGGAATTTCACATTAAACGTAAAGCCCACACAATACAAATAAGTCCCCCGGGGCACTAAACAGTGAGCTGCATTCTAATGACTCATGAAAGAGGCACACCTCCACATGGGTGGAAGAGGAAGGGGGGCAAGTTGAGGGTGGGTTCGCCCACCGCAGCTTTTCATCAAAACAGAGGTATGACTCTGTAATAACGGCTGGGGCTTGGTGATTGGCAAGCAGCCACCGGAGCGAGCTTTTAGCCCACAGCGATGCTGCCAGATCTGCTGCTGTGCCAATCGCTGCACCACGCCCCTCTCTGGTGCACAAAGTGGAAAGTGGGTGGTGGGGGTAGAGCCGTTAATCATCAGTTCAAGAGAGCACAGGCCCCCTTGGGGGATGCGCAGTGTAACGTTACTCAGCTCCCCGAACAAAATTTTTATTTGCTATTTTTTTCCCGCCCTGGCTGGACAACGGCATTCCTGCACTGGGAGGGGAGCGTGCACATCATCGCTGAGCAGCAGAGCTGACAAGGACATGCCCCGTGCTACAGGTCAAACATGGATTTACAAACCTGTGTTTTAACTCAGCGTTTTCTCTGTGAGACGCAGAGAAGACCGAGGTGAAAAGATGGGTGAAACTGACACAACTGAGCTGAACTTTGTTTAACTAAAACTCAGCCCCGATCGTTTCTTTCACCAAAAATATGGTGAGGTGTGGGATGTGAACTTTTTGGGGCTTCTAAAGTGGGGCATACCAGAAAAAGTTTGAAAACCACTGATCTAGAGCAAGAGAGATGATTTAGGAATGAGTTTCCTTGTTAAAGCCTTCACACACTATCCCCCATCAGTGCAGGCTGGATGTGCAATGAAAGCGTCGCTGCTAAGGATGCCATCATTGCACAAATGTAAAGAAAAATACCAGAACCGGCTGCGTAGCTGCAAAGAAGCATGAGAAATATGGAAGATACAACAAAAATTGAGATCATTCCTTAATTTTTCATAGTAAAACTAAGTAAGAGTGTACATGAAAAACCTAGAAATGGGAAAAATGGGAGTAGAAACACTTTATAGTTGTCACATATAAACACTGTAAATAAAAACGGCAGCATTCACCTGTATGCATATGCTGGTATAATCATCAGAGCCAACAGCCAATCATGTGTCGAACGTGTTTCCGGCCCTGACATCTCCTGCATTGAGGTTTTTATCTTTTTATCTTCTCTGTGGCAAACCAGCAGGTAGCAAATCATTACACCTGAACTAGCCTGACTTCACCAATCTTCTTTTTAAATCTTCTTCTCATGGATGCTGGACTTCTTACAGAGCTTTGATTAGCAGTTAGCTGATTGTGTTGATGCCTGAAAAGCGTACAGCCAAGCAGCTGCAGAGAAGCAGTACTTGCAAAGGTGGGTTTCACACGTTTCCTGATATAAAATTCTTCTATAATTTTCCTTCCACTGCAGCTGCGTCTTGTTATATGTGGTGAAACTGGAAAAATCAGACTATCTGTACTAAGATGTTGCAAGCTTGAACTCCTTCTGTGTCCAAAGAGGGATGCGTCATGTGACAGTGACAGGCGCGCGCTACCATCAACTCACTACCTGCCTCAGAGGAGCCACCCAGGTCAAGCACAGCTCAGGCTAAATCAGATAAAATCGCCAGCTTACAGACAACATCTCAGGAAAAAACAGACCTTTCTTCACCGGTGTGTGGAACCACTCTGCACCACCTTCTCTTAACCTTCCCAGGGAAATTCCATTGGTAATTTGAAAGGAGGTTCTGTGTTTTACAACATATGTAATTTACACTGTGAATCCAATCAACTCAGAATGAAAGTGATAGCATACAGCTCATAAATGATGAAAAATGCACAAAATAATTAGCTTCCGAGATAATGGTGAGTCATTTAAGGAGAAGCATGGTTTTCCGCTTTGGGGCATGAGATGAAGGCCTTGGAATTTACTGGTTAAAAAATAATAGCCCTCAAAAATAAATATTTGATTGTTTCTGTGAGTATTGAACCAAAAAACAGGCAGTAAAACTGGTTATTTAGTTTACTGGTTGCACTGTGCATTATTAAATAATGGGCTCAAACAATCCTGAGCACGTCATAGGTTACTTGTATTGTTCCTTTTATAAATTATTTGTTCTCAGGCAGCAGAATTTAAAGTAAATCATTTATTTTCCCACTGAAACCTCACATGTACTTACAGAAAGCGGTTCATCCGGCTCACGCATGGTTATGCAGTCCATGCTGATCTGAATGGTGTTTCCTGCCGACCCGTCGGCCGGACTGTCGCTGAAGTTCAGCTCGATGGGCTGGACTGAATGAATGGCAGATCTGAAACAGCAACAATACAGATTAATGGGTCGTTCCATGTAAAATAAACCAAATCTGAGAAACGTTTCTATACACCCCCCCTCAGAATCTGCTGATTTTTATTTACAGGGATTTCAATGAATTTATTGACCCATCATACTATGAATATTTTTAGCTTTTGGAGTACACAGTGATTGTTTTAACTTGTGCTACATTTTCTAGAATTCTTGAGCCTTCATAACTTACAGTCCAGGAGATATGCACATTAAATATTAAACCCATTTAAGCTCTGTTAAGAACTGATTTCAAATCAATTTTGGACCCACTCCAAGAGTCCAAATCTAAATTCTTGTTTATAGCAGTGTGTAGCTGCGTGCATCGGTGTGAATAAACTGTCTGTAACGCAGAGGAACAGAATCGATTACTGGCATGCCGGATGTTTTATCCGTTTTCTGATAAATCACTGGCGCAGACTTCAAAAAATGAATTCTGGGTAAACTTTCAAGGTTCACCATGTCGTTAGCGTGTGGGATAGTTTGGCTAGATTGTGGTGTGGGCGTGAAATTGATCAGGCTTATGTGTCTCTCTCCCTCCTCTCTCTCATCTGTCCTGTGATTTCATGCTGTGATACATGTAAAATTATTACTCTGGGAGAAAGTTAGGGTTAGCAGCAGAAGCTCTCTGACTTTTGTTCTTGCACCGGTGCCCTCTGCCTCTCTGCAAAGTCTCACTGTTTGCTCACCCAGTGAACAGAGCAGAGACAGACAGAGCTAACAGAAGACAAGGGGGAGAGAGGAAAGTGAGACTTTTTTTTTTTTACTTAAGTCGACCTATAGCTCAGGAAATATGACACAGGAATAAAACTGACACATACAAAAGGAATTCAGGATGTTAGCTATTGACTGAAATATATAAGAGCTACACTGACCCAGCTCACAGGGACAAATGAGCCACCAGAGAACAAGACTTTAAAATACAACTGTAAATTAATTCTTTTACAAGTTAACTGTATATTTATACAATTAATAACAGAGTCCTTAATAATGTTGATGTTATTATTGACAAATAAATGAATATTGAAACTAATTTGTTTCCAGATATGAACATTTTTAGAAAAAGTACACTGCTAAAAAACCCCGTAAATGAACAATTTTTAATCAGAATACAGAATCAAGTCAGTTAAACTTGAAATTGATATAATATCAGTATAGAAGTTATACTGACAGAATACTGATCTGGTCAGTTAAGTAGCAGAGTAGCAGAGCATAAATAAAACTGAATTAAATTAAATTGAACAATAGGCACACTACAGGGGCAACCATTTCAAAATAGGAATGGTTTTACAGGTGAAGCCCACTGACATTTTTTTCCTCCACATCTTTTCTGATGGTTTTTTTCCACTAGTTTTGCATTTGGCTAGGGTCAGTATCACTGCTGGTAGCAGGAGGCGCAGTGTGCAGTGTGTCTTCGGGTCCTCTTGGTGCACTACAGTGCTGAACCTCATGCGGTACAATATAGGCAGCTTTTGGAGAACGAAGGAATTGATACCATCGACCAGGCTCATCTGACCTAAATCCAGTAGAACACCTCTGGGACTTTATGTGATGATCCATCCAATGCTGTCAGGGTGTACCAGACTGTCCTGGAGCTCATTGATGACCTGGACCAGATCTGAGATTAGATTTCCCAGGACATCATCCGTCGATGCGAAGCACGCGGTTGTCATAAAAACTACCGAGTACCATTCGGAGTTTTCAGCAAAATTGTGTATAGTTGCCTGCATGGAAGTGCAGCTGGTAAATGAAGTCAACATACACTGCAGTTCCTCTAATGTCCACTCGAGGCTCCGTCGGTGAGTTAGTCCCTATGGACGCCCATGTTAAAAAGTCCAACATTACAGTAGAAACTTGCAGTCTGAGTCCATAATGAATCTGAGGGGGTGAATTTTTTCTTATAAATTATCCACGGATGTGGCCACTTTGAAAGAGTTAATGAACTGGACTGCTTTTGCTGCCTTTACTGACAAGAAATTATGTCCTGCTTGGTGAAATTCTAGTATTTTAGTAGCCTCTTAATTAGTGCTTATTAGAGGGTATCGATGTATCTCTCCCACATTCTTACAGTTTATTTGTGCAGTTTGTTACTGTTAGCTTTACATCCTGTCCAAATACAATCACTTCTGATTTAAAAAACAAAACAAAACAAAACAATGGGGGGTTATCCTAACCCAAAAACAAGTGAGTGACGTCACGGTGGCTAAGTCCACCTTTTACCCACTGGCTGAAAATAACGTTGTTGTGTCCATAGGCAAGTTTTACACAGGGGCATAAACATGGATAAATTCAAATCTAGAAAAAAAGAGAAACTAAAGTGTGAGGATAACTGCTGCAAGTGAGAAGGAAGTCAGGCAAAGAAGCTGACATGGTTTATAATTTCCACATAAAAGAAGAAAAAAAATCCCCAAAGTGAAAACTAACGCACAAATATCTAAAATATGTGCATAGATGAATATTTCACTATGGCCTTTTTTTTCCTTGTTTTGTTGTTTTTGGCAGTATTCACTTACTGGTCGAGCATATCAAACAGCTGGTTGAACACATCTTGGCTGAACAAGTCAGTTGTCTGTGCTGCCTGATTCTGGGACATGGTGGTGAGGAATGAGCCCTCTCTCCAGGACAGACGAGCTGAAGGGTCCCTGAGTCTGCAGAAAGACACCATCAATCAGCTGTAATCATTTTATTACACCCATTCCTGCTCACTTACAGCTGCCATTTCTGAAAAACTATTTTAAAGGGAAGCGTTTTATAGTTGCAAAGTCAGCGAACATAAAAGCTGATGTGCTGTGCTAAGATGCGGCCACCCAGCCAGTGGAGATAAAGGAGGAGGAGGAGGAGTCCTGCTGGCAGCCATTCATGAAGAGCACTTCCATTGTGAAGAAGTCAGCCTACATAATGTTGAATATTTGTACTACACATAATGGTGATTATGTACCATTCAGACAGAGGCACTTTGACCTGCTGCCTTGAAACATTACACCTGCTTCAGAGCTCTGCCCGCCATTGTTCCTGCTGAAGTGGCGCACGCTGCAGTCTGAGACAGGCGGAATTCCCCCAACGTCTATATGATAGCACCGCTAAAACTTGTGGTATGCGTACAGCTGGGCGAGCTCGGGAGGGAGGCCGATGGGGCGGCCATAATCTGAAGCTGGCACTATTTTAGGTTTTGGAATTCCCCAACGCTGTGATGAATGATATTAATACCTGTCTTACAAACACAGGCATATCTAATGAAGCAAATAATTTCACGTATGCAGGAGGCTCATATGAGGGAGCGCTGAGAGCTGAGATGAATTTATTTTGCAAAGCTCAAGAATTATTATGGGTAAGATGTCACAGATTAGGGCCTACATATTAATCATGCCCAGACACATTTAATAGAGTAAAGTTAGATGTTTCTGCAACATTAGGACCACGACAAAGCTTGGATTGATCATAAATTACAGCGGCTTGCAAGGAAGCTGTATTTCAGCTCGCCTTGTATAAAAAGCTGCATGTATATCAGACCTGCACAATAATTAAACTGACACGATATGCAGCAAACCGAAACTCCAAAATGCTTCAGTGAAATCGTTCATCTGACCTCTTTCACCTGAAATGTAACGTAAATAATTTAATAAAGCCAGAAAAGAATTTAATAAATGTCTCAAGGTCAGTCGATCCGCTGCAAAAATAGCACGCACCCCTTTAAACCAGTCTACTAACAAGGACGGTTCCTCACACAGCTGCGTTTTTGTGATTTTTGTTTTAAACTTGTAACCAACCTAAATATATAAGTTTTTGGGGAAGCCTGTAAGCCATTCGTGGCATCTGACCTTAACATAAGATTTGAAAACTAAAACTACATTTTGGGACTTTTAAAACTTTTCGCATCCTATGTCGGATAGTTTTCGGTAACGATTTGCCCTTTCAGCAGCAGAGCGCCTCCAGCACGCTGTGCCCCTCTGTACAATATTTAAGTGATGGTGTTACGAAGTAAGGAACCATATACACTACGTGAGGAAAGTCGGCCAAAATAATGCTGCTAAATGCGATGATGATGAGAAAAAAAGTACTCAAGTATGTAGCAACTTTGTGTGGCTATAAAACACATTTGGGAAGGAAAACTACAAACTGTTAATAAAACAATATAGAAAGTGTTTTTCAGGTGTTCACACAGCTATAGTTGACATCTGCATTAATAGTCTATAACCTAATTTATTGCCTCTAATTGGACATTCTGTGCTCTTTTAAGGAAGCAGAATTATTTTGAGTCAAGCTGAAAAGTTCAAAATGTATTTAGAGTTTATTCAGAGGGGTAATACTTATCATTATTATGATGAGGAAAGCAGACAGAGCTCAATCTACAAATAACAATAAATATACAACTATTCAAATCTTTATGAAAAGTCACAGGGCTCTTTAAATAGATATACACATATTGTTATTTATATGCATACACATGGGTTTATGATCCAGAGCATATATGAAAATGCTCAAGCAAATCCAGCAGATTTTTCTTCTCTGCTTTTTTTGCTATTAATTTGTTAATTTTTAATTTCATTGTATGTACTCTTACTTTATGTAAAAAGTCACAGTGTGCATAGTTGCCATCTAGATCCTAAATTTATGTTACACTGCTAACACAGACCCCACACACACCAACTGGACCCCACTGAACAGACAAATTTAATATATTTACATGTTTTACAGTTTTTAAAAGTCTTTTTGTTTATGATTTGTGTTTAAATTGTAATGAAAATATAAATATATATTTTTTAAAGATATGAATGTTAAAAAGAATAAAGCATACTGTATATCTCTCTCTGACTGGCTAAATATTGTCAACTACTCACATGTGAGTGCAACCTAGCACATTTACAAAATAAGTTCACCGCAAATCGAATGCATTTGATTTTTATATATAACAAAAACCTAAAATATGAGTTTTGCAGAACTCAAACTGACCAGTGGTTTACAGCTGTACACTCTCAAATTGGCAGCTGTTGAAAATGTTTGAGAGCAAATGTGATGTTACATTAATGTTTCGTTAATGTAAAAATGAAAACTGCTACAAACTTGTACGCAATAAGCCCCACCCAAACCAACTGCAACACAGATATCCTCCTTTTACATGAATGCATGAGTAAGAATATCTAAGAGTGCACCTCGTTGACTGCCGTCAGCCTACAGACACTAAGATGACATTTACTGATGGCAGCAATTGTTTATCTGTTCTGTCACATCAATTTTGTGCAGGCTAAATGTTTAAAGATCGCTAGATAAAGAGCATAAAGACTTTCTAAAGATTCATCTATGGCCATAATGAAGGTACCAATAAATCCATGTTTGCAATTACAGTGTAAAATCCTTTCAGTTCATCCAGACTAACAGTCTAAGGATAAAACGTGTAAAAGTATAACACAGTTATTAATATTTTTCACAGTAATTCATAATATAATATAAACTGCTTTAAAAATGCAGAATTTGCCCCAGAATAAGGTTTTAAATGCTTATTTTTTCTACTATTTTTGCAATTGCAACATCGTCCCATACATTTAAATTCAGGATTTTATACGGTTTCTTCAGAAGCACTGAAGATTAAAGAGCAAAAAATAAATAAATAAATAAATTGTAAAGAATAATAGTAAAATAAATTGTGATATTCTTGAATTGATCCATTATGTTAGGGCTTACTGATTCATAAAAGCCATCTCTTCATCCTTATCAACATGTTGCTTTGTTATGAATACATCCAAATCACAGCAGTATCTCTTCAGAGTAGATGTCAAAATAGTGATTGATTTATTTTTATTATTTTTTTTACTTTGAACAGTGCCAACACGCTTTTGTAGGAAAGCATTTACAGCAGTACACAAATCAAAACCTGGTGGCTTAGCTGCCTGCACAAGAGCACACGAGGAGTTTGAAGGAAACGTGCCAAAGAGGGGGAAAAAAAAATCACAAAGGATGACTTTAAAAAAAAACAAAAAAAAACAGGTAAATGGCAGGTAGAGCAGGTGAGTTGTCATCTGTGTTCAAGGAGAAAGGATTTAGGTGTGGTCATCCACGTGACCTGTGCCTCACATTAACTCCATTTCATTCTTTAATTTTCTTTTAAAATACAGAAGAACTAGTTTAACTGACATCCCATTAACTTGTCCAAAAGACTTTTGAGCTTTGCTTCTTGGTATTGTCTGATCACCAGTCAGCATCCAGAACTAAAGCTGTTTATCAGGTTCTGCGTGTACAGCCATCCAAGCCTATAAATACACTAAAACAGTTTAATGGAAGAATAAAATAGAAGATCTGCAGCCTAACCCTGCTGATGTCCTGCACTACTTTGTGCTTAAGAAAAAAATTTTCATTGTTGTAATAAGGCACACATGTCCACGTTCAAATGCATACCACATAAATGCAATATTCTATCTTTTTTCATCATCATTTCAAAGCAGTTTTATTTTATTAACGAAGTTTCAAGATGGGCTTTGTCCCTTTTCTGGCTGCATTTTGTCTGCGTTTGGGTGTCTGGTTACTCTGAGAGGTTTTCGGTTAGCCCGAGGCAAAGGCTGTTCAGCATCCACTTAAACACAGTGCAGCGCCTCCAGACGAGACTGGGGCAGAGGTCAGCACTAAACAGGGATGGCTATTGTCTCTTGGCAGGTTGTGCACACCGACCGATGAAAATGCAATCAAAACAAACAGCCCAGCCGATCGGGGTCCTTCTCCAGTGTCATTATTAATCACTTTTCAAAGGCCTAAGACCTTCTCCCCCTCATCCGTCAGCCGAGGCTGGAAAAGGGACACGAGTGAAAACAATAGAAAGCCCCAGAGTTTCTCCTCCTTTTATTTTGATCATCTGGTGCAAGAGGGAAGGTAAGGCGTAGAAGGCAAAGGATACAAGACAGGTGGAGGGATTTACAGGCCAGGGAAGATACTTTTCATCCCTTTTCAAAAACAGTTACATTGTTTTCAAATTTGTGCCACAGCCAGAACGGTCAAAAATGTCATCAAGCAAAACAGAAAAACTAAAAAAAAAAAAATTACAAATGTAACTGTTAAACTCAACTACAAGAGTGCTGTGATGGTAAATTTAAAGGGGCAAAAAGCACACAGAACACATCCAATCTGCAAAGAATTTAAAGAATTTAAATATTTTAGAATGAGAGAAGAAACACTCATGTAGGTAGTTTTGGTGCAAAACATGTGCAATTATCAAAGCCTATAGAGCTACAGTACTAGCACATGCACTCCCATTGAGGTTCAAAATCTCCAGAAGAGGACCTCCAGATGTCATGTAATCTGCCTGCCTTCAGCCCTGATTGCCCTTTACACATGCATTGCTGCCATAAGTATGCTGCCCTTATAAATATATCAGGACCGAGCAGCAGCAGCTGAGGATCCAGGCAGACACAACTGTTCTCAGGCCGTTTTGGACCTCCAGACAGCGTGAACTGCAGCGCGGGTCAAACAGGAGCAGGGAGATTCCCAGCCAGCAAGTCCTACATCATTCTTTTAAACTTAATGTAAGGCTCATTATGAAGGAGTATAGCTACACTTCGAATCCACGCAACACATATTGTTTAACTAATTAGGCAAAAAAACATGACCTCAATACAGTCTACCCTATAAGTACGTGTGAGTATAGGTCATCAATTTCAACAACCTTTAGGTACTTACCGCCGAAAGGGAAACTCAGGGTAATACTGCACAGCTGTGTAAGGTGAATTCATGTTGTCATGCCAGAGTTCACTTTGCTGAAAGCTTCAGAATGATCAGCTTGTCATAAATGGATCAATAGCTGTGTTTGACCTATGAGAATCAATTAAAGTACAATAAAAAAAAAAATACAGTTAAAAACACAACCAGGCCTGGATTAAAGTGCCGGAGGGTACAGTGCAGAGTGCAGAAAGTTTGAGAGATGTTTTGAATTTAGGTATTTTTTCTTAGGCTACCCAAAATAGGCGGGGCTTGTGCCTTCTTTCTGACCAATCCCCTGCTCCAGCTGTACAAGATATCACTCACTCTCAGTTGCTAGGATATAGATATCAAGCAACTACATTTGACCCCAACACACAAACACCCACACGCCAGGAAGCCACTATCCTGAAAAGCTCCCCACTTACACCCCACTCCTCCATCTATGTCTCTGGCCTTGTTCTGATATTTCCACCCAGACTCCCGAGCGGATTTTGCGGCCCGAGAGCACGTCTGTTGCGTCACGCTTCTCAGCGAATACTGAGAGGGTTTCGGGCGCGCTGAATATTTCCACAAACGCGCCCCAAATAGCAGCAACTGTTCACTGTGTGCCGATTCAGCAATTTTAAGGAAGTGAAACAAACTCTTAGGTCAAGAACTGACTGTTCTCGTGAAAAAACTAAAAATGAGAATCCCCTTTAAACCTAAACAGACACCAGATAAAAATACTTCATCATTACAGTAGCCTACATAAACTCATATTTAGGCAAACGCTGAAATCGTGCCACATCCTGGCACATACTTCCAATTCAACCACCCTCTTAGCCAAGCAGTATGGCAATGTAAACCTAGAGGTGTTGTGTGGTTTTCAGAGATGAACAGCAGATGAATCAGTATGCTAAAATAAAAGGAAGGGTCACCGCAGGAGGAATGATAATAAATAGATGTGGTGTATCCAGGGAACACAAACCTTTATGCTGCTCTCTTGTACTTTTAATAAAGATATAGAGCCTCTCTCTGCCCGCGGTGCACCTGTGAGACACGGCACTGATACAGCGGATACTGTGTGCCAACCTGGTGATGAGACACTGTGGACACACGGCCGCTATTTTTAACATACTGTATTGGAAGGTTTCATATCAGCATTTTCACACTCGGCTGAGTTCGTAATGAATGAAGCACCCTCTTTGTTTGCTTCTCAGTGTAAAGAACATCTGGACAGTCCACTCATCAAGTAAACCCGTACGCTTTTGTGATGCATGTCACATTTTGGTGACGGACTGTGTGCTTTCTCAGTCATCCAGGGCATTTGAGTTGAAGGTAACTGGACTTCTGAGAGACCTGTAACTACCTTGAACCCAAGCATTCAGGACCACATTTTGTGGTTTATTGTAAAAACAAACCCAGAATTGGTCACATTACAATCCCGCCAATAAATATCCACTCATGAATCTCCCACTCCAGTCTTTTGAAGCTGAATGACCATCTCTTTCTAAATGTGACAAATTCAATGAACAGCCAAGAAGTATTTTTTTATTCTACTGTAGGCTATGTATTGTTTTGTACTGACTAGTTTATGGAAAAGAGCCCCATCAACCCTAGAAAGGCTGAACAGGTGCACCTGTATAAATAGTTGCATGATTGCCATTAGCCACTCCTTTTATACTGCTGCAAGCTTGGAGTAAACCTAAATACACATGCATTGCAGTGTAGGGTCAGAGCTGATGAATCAGCGTGGTCACAAAAAACTGGAAAGCATGAAGACATCAACGCACTCACGGAAGCAACTACAACACTCGCTTCACATCGATGAAAACAGAGCGATCGCAAGTTTAGCAGCTATGAAAACAATTAAATAATTCACTCATATTAAACAATATTTCAAAACATTTCATAGCTGTCAAAATGGCCTTACTCTGTCATGGACCAGTGACTTTCCAGACACCATTTCTTGCTAATCCATCCAAACTGTGTTGATGTACTTCGGTCTGGAGCAACCAGCTAAGAGACAGTGGATGAGCAGCACTGCCATTTCCAAGTGACAGTTTTAATTCTATATATTAGGTTTACCTATCCTGACTTCTGTTGTTGTCTTTGAGGTGCAAACTGGGGTAAATACCTAAAACGACAGTGTTAATATTCGGGATATTTAGGGTATTTCCTGTGTGTAACAAAGAACTCGCACCAGCAAAGGAGGTTTTGGGCTTCCCCAACAGTAAATCACCAGGAGTGTAATTTTTAAAGTTGGGTTTAACTTACCTAAGCTTTGACACATACTTATTAATATTTTCCTTAACTGCATTTCATATTTTGAACGAGTAAAAAAACGTAAACTTCAATTTATGGGTGTAGTTTATGAACGCTACATGAATGACACGACATAAATACACTTTACGTGTAGCCTTGGAGGCTCCTAATGATGCTCACATCTAAACCTGCCACAAAAGCGGGTAAACAAGAAACACCCGAAAAACATAAGTTCACAAGCAGAAAGCAAATAAAGAACAATATGCGCAACTCACTCACACACTAAGTTACATCAGATGTGACTGAGCTGTGACTTTCAGCCACTTCTTCAAAAATAATTTTAAAAATAAAAAAGAAGAAGCTGAAAACAAGCTGAAAAATAATTTTAGATGGAAATTTAACCCCAGTGCTCATCAGAGCCAGCAACAAACACTGCGCTTAGTTGTGGCGCTACATTGTGCACGATCTTCTACAAAAAACCACCAACGGATGTGAACACCAAATGATCAAATGTGAGACCGTGTTGTGATATGACCGAATCATTGAGAGGATCCGCCGTTCTGCTGCTTGTCTGCTGATCTGATTTCAAAATGAGTAAAGCTAGGCTTAACTGCTCATAGTTTTAGAATGACATTGAGTCCTAATTTGGTTTAAAAAAGTCCACAAGCTGCCAATTTTTATGAAATTTTTAGAGACGTGAAAGTCTGAAATGAGTCACACCCAACGACCGTGCGAAAGTATGAGCAACTATTCCCCCAAGGTCACTGTGGAATACCAGCGACCGTTGTTGGGTTGCTCTGTGAAACATGGTTCCCAGCTGAAAAATGACAACCAATCACAGCTCACATAAACACGACTATCGTAAAAACCCACTTGTAAAATCCCATGGTGATTATTAGGTTATTTAAGCAACAAGCCTCTCTAAACCTAACACACACACACACACACTGCAGCTTTGACCACCTCCCAGCACAACAAGGACAAACTGACCTCAAGATATCATTAAATCTGATATTTACACTGACACACGAAACCCTTACATCATTAATTACTCTAAGGCCCAGGCGCTGGAAACCAGTCACCGAGCCACTATTACTTCATTTGAGATGTATGTGTGTGTTTATGGGTTAGCAGCTACGTCAGGGACATCTCTGGTACTGTCATCAGTGGGAGAGCACATATGTCTAAAGTGGTTATTATTCTCACAGGCCTCTGGTTAGAGAGCGTTAATCCCGCATTAATCTGCAATTGTATCTGCAGATCAAGCCAAAAATGGCAACCAGCCTGAGTGATCGGTGTGCTTAATTCATTCTGGTGTGTTCATCGTGCTGAAGGCATTATATACCCGGTTCACACAGCCTTATTAATGTCAGGAGTTTACATACAGGATGCCAACGAGCAGTTGGTGGAGCAGCTGATGAGGTAGCAGCGACGCTCGCTGCACTGTGGAGTGCTGCATTATCAGTGTCAGTCACACACACCAGGCTGAGGCCAATCACTCTCACGCCGTGTGGGGTTATGTGGGCATACTTGTGTGCGTCTGTGTGTATATTCTAGTTGGTGACTAATGCAGGGGAAATCCAGATGAGTCAAAACTACCAGTGTCCGATGCAGTGTCTGAGAAGCGCTAATTTACAGCCTATGCACTAAACTGCCCAGCAACTTGGCATTGTTCCTGTCACCTCTATAGGGAAGTCTTGTGTTCGGGCAGTGTGAAGAACCGTTGAGGGAAGGGATGAAAAACGTAGTAAACAAGAAAACGAATCAAAACATTCCCAGCATAAATTCACTTCCTGGAGGGTGGAATATTTTGACACTCAGACAACCAGTCCTGTACTTCCATAACGACAAAAAAGATAAACAGCCGTGAACTGCCTCCAGCTTTCCCATGTGACCCACAGAACCTGTATTTCTATTGAATCACTGATTCATTTGTAGTAATATTCAGACTCCCAGACAATTATTGATGCTTTCCCACGATATGATTCAAGTTTTTCTTTATGCGTCTTTTGTCACAGTGACTTTTACACCTGAGATCAGGTTGTTGCCACGTTGGGAAAATCAACCTTGCCTGCGGCAACTGAAAGACAGTGAGCCAGAGTTGAAAAATACATCCAGTATGACTGCTTTTAGCTGGAATCCAGATTTGTTTGTTAAATGTTTGTTATGCTCAGACTGATGAGTTGAAATGTAAAGAAGGGATATCTGAGAAATGAACTCTTAATGCTGTTGCGGTTAAAGTGGCATTCATTTTTCAAACCAAGGCAGATTCCAGAAGTTTTCGTTTATCTGTTTGATGATGCAAAGAGCATCCCTCTAGTTAAATGTTTAACTAGTATGTTGAGGCAAAACAAAACCAAAACACACCACTAACATGCAGGTAAAGGTAGAACAAGTAAATGTGATTCCTAAGTTAAACAAACCAGGGAAACTGCATACCGAGAATAGCAATTTCAGAGGTATCGTAATTACCGATGTAACAGATCTACGGCGTCCGTGCTAAGTCGCTGAAGAGATTGGAGGTGTTGTCAAAAGCAGTTTCCCGTTAGCTGAGATCTGCTATAGAACGAAAAAAAGCCACTATGATCATTTATAATTTTCTGTAAGATTGTTCAAATAACATTTGTGTGAAGTAGCCATCATTAACTTTTAGCAAACAGTGCACTTGAAAGGTAGCATGAGTCTCTCTGAAGAAACATAGCTAATGTTTGTGCATGTTTCAGCATGCATTTAACTTCTTTATATATATATATATATATATA